ATAAATTGAGTTTACTAAAATCCAAAACAAATTTCAGACTTTAACCACAACTATTTAAGCTGTGATAACAAAAATACAATTTTCTAAAGTTCAAATATGAATAAAATTATGTCCTATTCTAATCCAGTCAAAATACTTAAAATACTTAATTATCCAAATAAAGTTGCTATAAATCTTTATTTGTACAATTCCTGACACCTTCTTGTTGGTGGATGTGTTCAAAATGTTCCTTAAAGCTTTAACAAAGCACAATAACATGAGCTCTAGTTTAATGAATCGCCACTGCTACAATATTGCAGCTCTTGAATTATTAAAAAAAAAAAATCATATCACAATAATGATAAAATCAAGAGTTGTCAACAGTGTTTCCACACAGAATAATACAGAGGGCTCAAATTTAAAATGTAATATTAAAAATACTGTCACCCTTTTCTCTGATATACCTATAATATACAACAACAATGCCTCTAACTGTTGCCTGTGTAATACATTCTCTACCTTGTCCTGGACCAAATACTGAAGACATTCACCTGCAGCCCTGGTAGCCCTCAGGCATTCTCAATGGACTGACTGTTGATAGCCTGATCTTTAATTTTTCCTAACCTCCCCCAACTGAAGGACTCAGGGTGGCTTAGTCTAGACCTGGAGGTCATAACCCTCCTCGAGACTCACCAGGAGACCCATCACCTCTCCGACCAAACCAGATCAATAGCTCTGTGTTGTCTGGGCCGTCGGCCAGTGTTTACTTGTGTTGACCTCTGGAGCTCATGAAGAGCAGCATAGGATAGATGGCAGCAGAAATAGAGTAAAGCACCATGGCAGAGACGATGGGGGCATACAGTGGACAAGCATCGGAGAGAAGAGCAGAGACACTGCCATCAAAGAAGAAAGGAGCATGGTTGGAGAGGAGAAGGGTAGAGAGAACATGAGGAGAGGGCAATAACGAGTGTTCAAGAGAAAGCAAGTACACTAATATCAAAGGAGTGGAACAGAGGTGAGCGGAGAGCTTTAACAATGAGAGGGAGGAGGAAGATGGTTAAAGAAGTGTAGCTTGGGTCAGAGGTAAGCCTGAGGTATCTCAGGTTATCATATCAGTCTAGTGTTAGCTAGAGACTGCCTGCTATCATAGCCGGGCATGTTGCTCCCAATCCCTCCCAATCCTCTTCTCTGTTCTCCAACCCAGCCCTGTTGACAAATCTAAAATCAAGGTCACAGCAGTGTTTACACAGCCTTTAGCCCAAATTACATCATCCAAACTCTGGCCCACTGGATGCATCACACTGTCACTGACAGTAAATGACCTGGCAGGCTGCCGTCCAGCTGAAAGAGGAGAAACAGAATGAGAGAGACAACGAGGGGGGTGGAGTCAGATAAAGAGGAAAAAGTCTGATAAAAAATGTGAAAAATAAATGGCACAAGAGCTTGGCATGTAGAGACGTATTAGGGTGTTCAACCCCCCCCACACACACACAAAAAATGTAATGTCTCCAAAACACACACACATAGCAGTATTGTCTTATTGTCTGAGGCAGTGTTTTCCCTTTATGAGTCTCCACACTAAACAACAAGGGAGCATAATGCATATTGTTGCTGGCTCCCAATAATGATGCATAACCCGGTGGCTGCACAGAAATATAATACCAATATGTCAGGTCTCTGATTTGGCCACAATTTGCATGGTTATAATAGCTTATCGACTGGCTCAAGGTTGAGCAGGGCCAGGCGGCTTCACTATAATGACTGGCCGTGTGCCTCCGACAGTTTATTTCAAGCTTCTGTGGCTCAGTCACCCGGCTCCCTATCTCGTCAATACCCAATCTTGATCACACTATCTGCATCCTGACAAAGTCTGCACAAACATTACTGCCCCCCAGCCCCCACCCCCATTGCCAACAAGCTCACCTCCACCTCATCCATCCCTTCCAACCCAGTGCTTTTCTTCCTTTAAATTATTCCTGCATCATACAAGCATTTCCCATGGAGATCAATACAGGTGCAATTCATTAGGCCTCCCAAAATCTGCTTGTCTGCAAGCATTTGCTTGTATAACAGCTATCGACCCTTCCCAGTTTGGCCCAGCGCCCACCGTGTTCAATGTCTGTGTAGCAGCACAACAGGCGAGGTCCAGAAGCAGAACCAAACTTTTTGAAATTAAAATTATGGATTTTGTATGAAACAAGGAAAAATAGGCTATGATACAACCTCTAAAAACAAGCATTTGTATTTTTAAAACAAATAAAATAACTTTTTCAAACGGGAAACAAACACCAGGTTTCCTGGGTGAAAGTCCGATCTCTGATCCATCCAACCATCCCGGGGTGAGACCGGGTTGAAGTTAGTAGAATATTTGAAATAACATGCAAAGCTGGTTAGTTTTTTAGAAGGAGATATAACAAAATTCTTAATTAAAAACATAATTAACAGAATAATAATGGGAAAGTCTAGTTGCAGAAGTATGAAATTTACAGGACATACTTTCAGATGATATACCTAAGTTTTCTATTCACAAAAAACCTTAAGAGGGTCATCACAGGGGAAGATGTGACGTCTCCCTGCTCTTTTTGTTAAAAATGTGCGTCTCACATTGGTTTCCCCGACAGTAGTGGTTGGCAAGAGACGGCCTGCGGGCCAAACAAATAAATAAATAAATAAATAAATACTTGCTGAAACAGATCATGACTGCAACAGTTACTCACATAATCACTTAAGTGATTGTGCCTACAAAATAAAAGCGCAATAAAGTTTTTTGCAGCTCTGCTTTGACATTCAAAAGAGTCTGTGGCTGCTTAACACACTTCTGAAAAAAAGCCTCAGGAAACGTGAGATTGGATTCCCTTGAATGAGAAGTGCAGGAATTTCCTCTGCCTGGAAACGCTGGGGAAATGAAGCGTCCATAGGCTGATGGATATGGATCAATCACACACTCGAGCACATTCTTTATTGTGAGCATATGAAACAGTCTCCTCATCCTTAATTTGTTGAAGAGGGAAAATAAATATGTTCGCCAAGGGGGGACCGAACTACAGATACTGCGAGATATTCAGTGCTTACTTCAACACATTAGTTTCTGACATATATCAAACCTGCGTAGTGACAATAACTTGGTTTCAACATTTCACTACCACATCAGAACATATAGCCGCATCCCCCCGAGCATACCCCGCTCTTGCTGTTGTAGAGCTGACCAGTATAAGCTTCGCCTGCGCTCACAGCTCCGCTGTGCCCCAGCGAGCATTCCCCGCCGTCGCTGCTGCAGAGCTCTGCTCACAGCTGTTCTGTAGTATATTTCTTAATTCTGAAGGTGGGTTCAAAGAGATGATACTGTAGTATACAACTACTCTACTGTAGTATACAGTATCAGGTAATGAAAACATGCGGACATACACTAAATTAAGAATTACAGAATCTAAATATTTTAAAATCATTTCATCTGAGAGAGGAAAAAGTAATTAAATTAAATTAGGAAAGTAGAGAGAAGAGGGATATGCAGAAGGGTTAAACAAGAGACTTGGATATGTGCAGAAGAAAGATGAAAGAAAAGAGATAGGCAGCAGTAAAGAAGTGAGGACAGAATAACTGCTGTAAGGCAGAGGTCTGTCTTCATAGAGTACTCTATGAGTTAGTCACTGGAAGTCCTTTCCTTTCCAACAGACAACAACACTTGACAATGTTATTGCTCCAACACTAACATTCTCTGAGTCTGTGTCAAGGGCACCACCTTGAGAGAAAGTACTCAAGTGCAGAGGAAAGGGGTCATACAACAAGAGAAACCATGCTCTTCCACTTCAAGATTTCAAGCGAATGTAGCTATTCATAAAATACAACAAATTGCCTCCTCATTTGTAAAACAACAACCACAAACTGTTGTTTGTTCTGCAAGAATCCCATTCTGTTGAAAATCTCCATCTAAATGTAATGAACAAAACATTTAAACCAAGATTAATAACAGCTCACAAACATATTGTTATTTTAAAGTTAAAATATAAATATAAAAGTGTTGGATCTTCATCTAGATTTTCAAAGTAATCTCATGACTACAGACATTACAGTGTTGTGTCTGTGAACTGATTTTTCACATACATATCAGTATCCTCATTAATAATCTATTTAAACATCACTTACCTTTTGGACCAAAGGTAAGTGATGGCACTCTACAGTGTCTCACAAAGAAAGCCCCCATTACCACTCACATGAGATCACAAAACAAATCTTTTCTTTTGTTGAACGCAACTCTCAGATATTTGTATTTGAAACAAATTAATGAGAAAATCCCACCTGTAGTGTTTTTTGAACATCAAAAACAGAGAATATTTTTTTTGTTTTGATCATGTAGAATGATAGGTTGCCCTGTATTTAAAAAACAAAGCCCCCAAAGCATCCCACTGGTTGTCTGATCACAAACCTATCCCATTGCTTTGACAAATCAATTCCGAAACATCTCTGTTTTGGATGTTATGAAGCCATTTCCAAAACACAAAGAAGGAGGAGGGGGCTAGAAGGAGAAGAAAGGGATAAATCAAAAAGGGGTGGTGGAAACAGGAAAGCAGTGGTCCTCTGTCGAGAGGTCAGAGTGAAGGCAGTGTGGCCATGCCCACTGTGGGCACTCAGCTGGAACTAAATGTGGACGCCGAGACGCCAACTATTGGAGCACTGCCAAGGACCTCTCACCCTGCAGCGCTTTCTCTCTCTCTTTTTTGCCCGAGACTCAACAATGAGTGGAAACTCGCTGCCTCCCGCCGCACAAACCCACTCCACATGCCCCCCAACTCCCCCACACTACACACCCCTTCCCCATTTCGCACTCCTTCAGTCATTCAGCTTAACATGTTCATTATGCAGGGACGGTAGGACAGAAGAAGATCACTGAAGGAGGTGAAAGTGAATAGCTGAGGGGTTAACTTTAGAACTCTGACAGCGATGTCACCCAAAATATTACACTCATTTATATTTCAACACCCCTCTCGGTGTTTGGGTGGTTATGGGCATGTGTGTTTGTGCAGGACCACCCTCTCTGGGATATGTGGGAGAGACAATGGGTCCAGTGAGCCAGTCCAAACAGCTGTGAGTGAGCTGGGTGTCATACCACCTACACACACACGCACGCACGCACACACGCACACACACACACCATCTGTGAACACCAACACATGACAGAGCAAATAGGATTACAGTATGGAGGAAGACAAGGAGGATGATCCAAACACCATAATATCATTTCCAAGAAGAGACAGGATGGGGCAGGGCATGGGGCAGGCTGGGGTGACGGGTTTACCAGGGGGTGGGGCAAGGGCTTAGCTGGTCAGAGGTCAGACCTACAGTGCAGCGATCTAATGGCTGTCTGGTTTGTGCACCAAAGCTTAGCTCATGTTTTCCAAAAACAAGATAGAGAAACTAGGCCAGGATTGAAGAGATGAAAAACACCACAAATAGCACACCGGATAAATGAAATGCACCAAAGTTCACATAGTTCAAACCTTTTTTTTTGCGGTAGACCCTTGTTTATTTTAACTCCTCAGAGACTTAAGTTATTCAGAGTCAAGTATTTGATATATAAGAAGACATAGTAATCCCTGATTATAATTTATAAAACATAAAACATACAAGCATGTGTATTGTGTATTCTAATTTATAGTTTATATGGATCAAAATTGCTTATGTTGTAAGAACAAATAAACTCTAGTCTATATGAGGTTTAATTCTAAGACTTAAGTCTGTGTTTATGTCTACAAAGGGTTGGTGGCAATTTTAGATGGTTGGTAAGCTCTTAGCTCCCTTTGTGTAAAGGTTACAGGCCAACATCGGACATAAACCTTATAACATGGTCAACATAAGTACTGAGTGTCAGCTGCGATTAGACAGTCAGGTTCAATCCTTGGTGTACCCTGTCATTCGAAAGAAACATTTTCATATAACTTCATTATCATGTGATTTGTCAACTAATATTCAATGTATTAAAACAGATTATGGTTGCGTTAGAGGATTAGAGGGCTTTTAAGGAACCAGAAATGAATGCACAGTGACCCCAGACCCATCCATACACACACACACACACACACACACACACACACACATATTTGTACAGAAAATTCACACCAACCTTGCCATATATGAAAGAGATTATAATGTGATTTCCAGAATTGTAGTACAAAACAATCAATTTCTCACTCATTCATTCATTCATCAACAGAGCATTCATTTCTCTGTTGATTGGTTCTAGGGCCTGCCTGAGCGACAGAAAAAGGTTGATCTTGGGGCCAGAGCAGGGCAGGAATGCCAAGCATGGGTTTAAGCTGTAAGGTAAGATCTATGTCAGAAGCCTCATCGTGTGTAAAACTAAATCTCTGGGCCGAGTTGAGCAGGTCTTGAGTAGGAACTGACACAATCTAACATGAACACATCCAGCGTGGTCCACAGGAGCCAGCCTGACATGTGACTGACTGCGACACCTGAAGGTGAAAGGTCAATACAGATTTCAGCAAATCTGAGCAGGCACAGCATGAGCTTATATTCAGGGAGGGAAGGGGGCATGGCTTGGCCTCCAACCCTTACCCGCTAAGACCCTTGAAGTTTTTTACCATGACCTAGACTTGACTCCTTCATCTGGGATGTTAGCTATACTAATTACTGCCTGATAGCCGCCTGGTGCCAAACGCAATTCACTTCCCCTGATTCTCCTCGACTCTGCTCCAACAGCTGGTGCCAACCTTACTTAGCGCTCATGAAGTGTTTCAGACACAAAGTGCAAGCCCCAACCTTTCTTCTGAATTTTGTTTTCTGTTGTTCGAAGGGCAGGGGTTGGGGGCAAAGGCGAGCTGCACTATGTAACATCAGAAGGTCAGCAGACATGCACTCTGAAAGAAAAAAGAATTTCATAAGCCAAACAAAAGGGGATTAAAATGGCGCCAAAGACAGTTCCGGAATATGCACGTCAGAATACTGACGCCACCCATTTGCATCTCAAGGGTAGATATAAGACAAACGGTCTGCTCTGTGGCTGGGGATTCTATTATGTTATAAACGAGGGACAAGTGGTGTTGGCCGTGGTTGGAAAGAAGGCCAGAGCCACACAGTGGTCAGGTGACTTAGGCTCAATGATGGGGAAGGGGACCCTCCCAATAGAGTCAGGAGGTCCAATTTATTTTCTCTATGCCCCAAGGCCCCCTGTCAACCTTCTGGCGCCCTCCAGTACCTGATCTGCATGTCTACCACTTGGCCTTAGACCCCTTTCTGTACCCTCTGGGCCACTCCCACATCTCACTGCAACAGCTAGTCATATCTGGGAAGCCAGAGCAGGTCCAAATCAATGTGAGCTTGTCTGTGATTATCAGCATGTGGGTGTATATGTGTGGTGTGTGAGTGTGTCTTTGAGGGTGTATCACTAAGTGTGTCTACATGTGTAGGGCTATCTCTGAGCATGTTTGTGTGCATTTGAATCTGTAAGCATACATGCTGTTTGTGTGTGTGTGTGTGTGTGTGTGTGTGTGTGTGTGTGGACAAGTGGCCTGTCTATATTGATTAGATAGGAGGTGAGCCCTGCAGTAGGCGGACATATTGGCTGACCAGCACACAGATGCAGAGGCAGGGGGTGTTTTTCCGCTGGCTCTGTAGTTTAGCCCCGAGAGGCTCACAGAGGTGATAACCAGTCTGTCTCTAGGTCACCAAGATAACATGCCTATACACACAGCATTCTTCTTGGGAGAATATACACACAAGTGTAGGTGAGTATCTGTAAGTGCAGGAATGCAAGCACACATATCTTCACCCAAGTATAAAGGCTCACACAACAAAACCACACTTGTTAACATGACCTGTCACAGATGACACAGTTAGCGGGCCTCAGGGAAATTAACCCGAGTTTTAGACTGAAGGGATGGACAGAAAGTGACTAAAAAGATATAAACAGAAATTATATGATAAAAGCAGTGGACAAAGCCCAAACACCACAATCTCATGATATAGTTAGAATATGCACAGTACATGCCAAGATCCCAAAATAGGTTTCCTTGGTTTGAAACATGTCAGTCATCTCAAATGAGACACCACTTAGGAGAATGGAGAGCAAGACAAGTGAGACTAACATAAATGGAGATTAGACCATTTAAAAACCAAAGCAAATGTTTACAAAGGGTTTGGTTTGGTGGTAAAACAAACCCACTTAGTTGCACACTGAGGAAAACATTCTACACTGGACCTTATGACACATTTATCACTGTGTTGGTCCAGGTCAGTGCCAGACCATTTTCAGAAATAAAATGTCAGCTGACACACAGGTCAAAGGTCACCTGGTGCTGCCCAGAGTAGTGACAGGCCAGCAACAGTCGGAGGATGCCGGTGGATAAACAAGAGAAGCAGGAAGTGAGGGCTGAGGATTAGAAGCCATGGCATCAGTGAGGGATCAGTGTAGCCTATTTCATTACTCCCAGGCACACTAAGCAAAACAACACTCCAAGCACTTTATAATTACTGCTTCCTAGGCTACAAACAAGCTCTGTTTATTACCCCTTTTACTCCTTGGTGCTTTCACTGGAAAAAAATCATCCTCTAATTGTCACATTTCTCTAACACTAGCGTGAATCGCTTTCACAGGCGGTTTGTCTCCTGTCCTGGAGATGGCTGGTTAATAAAGTTTTTATCTGTCAACATGGAGCACAGGGGAGGATCCAAGGTCACTGCTGCATATTCAAAATCTGGCTGGTTGTTGAATCTACCATCACTTTTGTTTACATAATTATATAAATAAAATGTAATTTTCTTTTCTCAGCAAAAAAGACAAACATTTTAATTTGAGGCTGATTATGACTCAAGGACTTTCAAGGATGATTTTTTCCCCTTAATTTTCTAATGATGTCTTTGCCATTATGTGCATTCCAAATATATTCTCACAGCTTCCATGTTTGTTCTTTTTTATTTCATAAAAATCATATTAAATGTGCATTTAATTATAACCTAATTGTGCAGAAGAGAGGGGGTAAAACTGCTGCCACAGTATATCAAAACAATTTAGCTAAGCAGGAGTGGTGGGTTTAAACTAATAGAAGAAACATCCAAACCCCTCGCTCTTACACACTTACAGCGTACACTCACGAACGCGTTGACAGTAAACTGAGTGGCTTTTGCAGATGTTCGATCTCAGCACGAGTTCTTCAATCCACTAGCTGGGCATACAATGTATGTGTGTTTGTGTGTATTAATTAACAGCTAAACCTTATGAACTGGCTTCATGAACCCATAACAATGACAGTCTACATTTAAATATAAATGTTTAACAAGCCCAACAGAGATCAGTATAACAACAAAACCATCTTACTTGCACCTATTTACAGTTAATAAACACTTCTGGGAGCCACAATCATAAAATCTAATTAAAAGTGAGGAGCAACTAAATGTTGTTTGTGCCACAATATAATTACCATGTCTGTATTGAGTAATTTACAAATTGTTCACAACTATTGATAAATTAAGATGAGATGGCACCTAAACTCCAAATGACCAGTTTGAAGGGCATACAAAACCAAACTTATTAGTTGGTCTAATGTTAAAAATCAAAAAAGTTCATCTTTATCATATAACAAAAATGAACACGCTGAAAATACATATATATATATAACTGCAAAGAAATGACATCCATCAGTATTGGCAGGTTTGGTAAATGATATGGTCCTATTTATGTTCTTAATCTTGAATAAAAATAAGCAATTTTTTGGGTAGCATAAACTTATTTATGGTGACACCCTCATATGATTACTCAATAGATTAACCTCTCCATGCTGTAATCTACTTTATCCCATCAACTAAGTTCACTTAGTGGCAGCAGCTGTGAGGAATACTACATTTACTGTCAAATGTTTTACAATATCTTGACTAAAATAACATTATGTATTTCAGAAGTAATGTATGCATCAGTTAATGGAAATTAAATCTTTTTTTTTTAAACTCCAGCAATGAGGCAAACACAGCGCTATTAAGGTGTGAGGTTTTCCTATTTTGCTTGGTTATCCTTTCATCTTCTCACAGACAGGGTCAATGCCAATAACGATTATAAGTATCATTAGAGGGTTGTTGCTACATGGATAACATCATAGCAACACTTGGTGGGTGGCAACTTCTGCCTTGTTAATGAGGGCATGATGATACTGGAAGAAGGATTATTGCTACAAGTTATAATGCTAGCAGTGGTCAGAATTGTCTGTGCCTTACTGGGGCTTATTGGATTAATTCCTGGAAATGCACCTAAAACCAGTCCATAGACACAAGAACCTTGCATGTTAATATAGTATTTCTGGATTTTAAGCCAAACCACCACCTGCATCTGGGACAAGTAATTAAAATACTGTTCAGTCAGTGATGATCAGGAACACTGGCCACCATTTTTCATCCTCATCTTTGCACTTGATCCTGTTGATGATGCAGCCATCAAATGTGGTATATACATGGTTTGTGGTTCTAAGTGGTTTGCCACATGTCGAGGTCAGGGGTAAAGGCTGGGCGGATTAGAGCCTATATTGAGTCAATGAGAAGAGGCCATATGGGCAAATGAGATCCATGTCTGTGAAGCACTAATCTGGGGATGCCCTCTGAGTGACCAGGGATGGACACCATCCATAGCAGTTCAGAGGCTTGGGGATTCGAAAGCCGCCTGTGGCCTGCTCTAATGTACCCAGTATATTAGCTCCCCCATCTGACCCTACATACTCAGAGGGGAAAAGAGCCTGGCTATGAACATGAAAGAAGATTAAAAACATTATTAGAGTAAAGAAATACAGTACACTCTGCAATACACAATGTCAGTGAGTAATATGAAGAAATGGTCGCAATGTTTACTATATGTTTAGTAACATTTGTTTCTCAAATGATTCAACAATTCTCCCTGTTGTCTGAATCTTACTACTAAAATAATGTCCTTTAAAATCTGTCCTCATGAGTGTGATTCAAGTCAAATCATTACAATATAATGACATACAAACTGTACATTGTACATACAAATGTGTTTAAAGTGAAAGAACTTCTATAGAAAGAAATATATAGTTATTAGCAATCTGCTGATAAAATACTTGTCTGCCCCATAGCAAGTAAAAGGGAAAAAAATTAAATAAATAATTAAAACAGTAGGAGGTAAGGCAAGAGAAAAAATAAAAGTGGAGATAAAACAAGAAGGAGGGGGGGTATTTATTAGAGATACTGTCCCAGTGATTGGCTGCAAGGCGGGTAGCAGAAGGACAAATGGACAAATCTGAGGAGCTAATAAGAGTGAATACGGAACAGCCCTCATGGGCAAATCTGGCACTAAGATGATAATGAGATTATAAAACCCCACTATATTGCAGCAAATTGTATAAGTGTTTCATTGAACCTTGTTGAACTTTCATTTATGCATGCCAGGCTTTCCCTTTTTGTCTCTCCCCTTTCTTCTTTTTCCTGGGATGATGGGTAGAGTTTTAGAGAGGAGGAGAGGATAAAATACCTCCTGGATAGAGTTTACCTAGTGCAGAGGTGAAGTGAAGACCACAGACTGGGCTTTCCAGACTCGCTTCTAGTTAGCATAATCACAATAGGCTAAACTATTAAAGCAATAGTGTTCTGCATATGAGACGTGATTATAAATCACAGTTCATATCTTGTAAAGATCCTTCATAC